AATAATAATAATAATAATAATAATAATAATGGGGCCCATCCAGCCTCGTATACAATGAGTACCGGGGCGTTTTCCCCATGGGTAAAGCGGCCGGGGTGTGAAGCCAACCACTCTCCTCCATCCAGTCCCTCGGTTAAGAATTGTGGAGCTATACCTCGACTCCCCCGTACGTCTTCATGTGCGCGGTGCTCAATTAAGCACACGGATATCTTAATTATTTGAACCTCGAGTTTAAGACGATATTTTAAATCTGATGGCTTTCATGACGCTCAGAGTGCCTTCTGAATGACGTATGTACTTTCTGTGGTTTATTTTACAAGGTTGTTCGTATCTCAGACAATATGGCGTCATGTGATAGGATGGATGAATAATGAATTTGAAAGGCTATGAGGAATTGAGGAACTACTTGAATGTAGTGGGTCTGGAACGGGGTCCACTCAGCCTCGTGAGGATAACTGAAGAGCTACTTGAATGGAAAAGTAGCGGCTCCGGTCTAGAAAACCGAAATTAATGGCCATGTGGATTCGTTGCGCTGACCACGCCCTCTATCCGCTAAGGGTGGCACTAACTTCGCCGACAAGCTGCGGTCGCTCGGTCGGTATAGTTCGCTTGCGGACTACAGTCCAAGGAATTTATTTGATAAGCAGCAGGTGGTGGCCTAACCGCAATTTGTCTGAAGGGACTGGGGTAAACTATGGGAACTCTCAGATACGATAGCCAGTGTCTAGACCGAAATTCGAACATGTCATCTCCCGAATGCACGTATAAAGCCTTACCACTACAACAGTCTGCTCAAGGGAACGATATATGAATGAGCAGAATTGCATTATAAGCGTTTCACAACAAAGTATTAAAAAGTACTGAAACCCATACAAATATTTGTATCCAGCTTTATTACTCTGACCTGTGTCGCCTCCACACATTAGCATGTGTAAACTATAAGTTGGTTTCAAAAGACACAAAAGGAGCAACGGCTCGATATGTTAAATAAACGAACTTTATTCGAAATGTGTATACACACTCCTTTGTTGCCACTTAATTGCTTCGACAGCAGCGCTGTGTTTACGATCTGGCTCCATACAGGGCCCGTGGGCCCTAAGGCGATCAATCAGTACCACCTTAACAGAGTTCATGTTTAGGACTGTTAAACATGAAACACTGAATCTCTTAAAACATGACATCAAAGGAGGAGAACAAAGGGAACATTTCATCTAGCATTGAAACATAAATATTTTAAACGCATATGTAGGCTACAGTGACTGAAGGAATTTCGTGAAGTAGGTTCTTTCTTCAGTGACTTTTATTCGCGTCTACGAAGTATACGTGTATAACACATAGCAACTGCATCTTGTCATGAATCTGTTCTACAGTCTTACACTGTGTTTCTTTGGGATTCGCTACATCTACTAGTACTTGCAAGACTTCCTTATGGCCTGTTGCTTTCAGATGCTCCGGCTAGAGCACTGAATACCTTCCACCTTAATTTTATGACCTAAAATATCTGGCGAAGACTCAAAATTATGAAACTCCGTAAGCAGTTTTCTCCGGGCTCCTGCTATTTCTTATTCCTTAGGTTCAAATACTTGTATTCTCCTCGGCATCATGTCATCAGTCTTCTGCGATATACGTTTTTCTTTTAATAACAGAGACAAAGTTTTACACCCATACCAAGAACAAGTAAAAATACTTTTGCATAGTTTAACCTGAATGAATCAAACCATTTTAAAGATATAAAGTATAGATGCAATAGTTGGGGCATACGGCAGCGTAGGTGGTTGAGGGGCTATGCTACAAGCACGAGGTAGCGGGAGCCGGGAATCGAACCCGGGACCTCTGGATCTGTAACCAGGAATCCTGACCTCTAGACCACAGACGGGGTCACAAACTTCGCCTACAAGCGGTGGTCGCTCGGTCGGTATAGTTCACTCGCGGACTCAAGCCACGGAGTTTAGTTTTATATTAGACGTAGTAATAAATTTGGCATGTTACAGAGAGCTTTAGATTTCCAGACAAAGCAGTGTTTCTTCTTTCCGCCTCAGAATGATGCTACTTCTGCGAGTTAAACGAAACATGTACTTGAAATCACTTAGGTCTTTATGAAACGCCCTATATTATTGATACTTCATGGCCAACCGGCAATAAGAATAAATTATAACAATTGCAATCATATGAATATGTTATATGACGTAATCAGTTTTAAATAAGGCCCATAATGGTATATACTCGTAAATCTACACAACAATATTCCGTATATAAAAAACAAAGAAGACACTTAACAACATTTGTTTATATTTGTTTTTACAAACGCAACATGTTTCGACCCTTATACCAGGCCATCATCAGGCGTACAATGCTCAAGCTTCAGCTATTGAATGGCAATAAATTTTTATTTAATTCTTCAAATAAGGATCCTTATTATTTAAATGCATAAATTCATAAATTGAGTCTTTGTGAACAAAATTTAAAATTTAAAGTGCTTAGATAATAAAGTTTAAAATTATAGATATAAAGGTTAAAATCAGAAACTAAAGATTAAAACATGAAAGTTAAAATTATACAAAAATAGAATAGAAATATTTTTTGTGAAGAAACTCTGCGACCGCTACGTGTAATGAGTTTTATTCTTCATTAGAAGGGAGTTAAATGTTTCAGCCTGCAGACTCAACAGCTCGTCACTAACGGAAAGTTCTGCGCAGCTGCATGCTGACATTGACATAGACATGGCTGCTGTGCGAATACAACGAGAATTCTGTTTCTCCTGGTTACATTGTGCTACAATTGATTCTCAGACTATACAGACATGCTGTTTGGACTGTGTGGATCTGCACCGCTGAATGCAGTGGGCAAATAAATACGTAAGTCAAGTTCTCGAGAATCTGGAAACAGATGGCCAGGATCTCTTTGGATAAGGTGTACACATATTCGCTTAGGAGAGACAGCAAAACGGCGATAACAAATTATGACATATCCAATTCAATGCATTAGCTTTTATACGTCATTTGGAAATCAATGCAAGAAGTGAACCCATAACGGGAAGGTTAAATCAGTCAATTCCTCCACATATTTACTATTCCAAACCACTTACACAAATAACTTGTTCAAGCGGTAAGGCTTGTGACTTGTATTCGGGAGCTGATCAGTTCTAATCTCGGCTGAGATATCGGCTATCCTAACTTGAGGGTTTTCGTGGTTTTCTTCAGTCCCTACATACAAATATCAAGTTAAGCCACGATCGCTTCTTTATAAATAGTTTACAACTCATTATCCACTATTATCGTACCGAAACGGTCGTTAAATAAACCACAATAGGTAAAGTTGTTCCTACATTTAATTAATTAAGCACCATGCTATGAACACTTATGGGGGAGTGAAGGTATGTATCCACCATTCTCGACCTCGGAAATATATTTCATCCGCCGGGAAACAGCCCCCAGTACCTACTGAATAGAAGGTTGACTGTAAACAGACCACAATAAACATAATAAATAAATAAAAATAAACGCAACAAACTGGACGGATTTGGACAAAGTTTATAATGACAGATGTAGCTAGACTGTCAGACAGCAGTGCAAGCGAGGTTTACGGCATGCAAAGACATACACCGAGCCAAGAAACTGTGGGTCCGAATCTGGACCTCATACGGAAAGGATCAGGGGTACCGCAGACGGTATAGCGACTGGCTATGGGCTGGACGGTCGAAGGGTTGGAGTTCGAGTCCCGGTGGTGTCAAGAATTTTCTCTTCTGCACGTCGTCCAGACCGGGTCTTGGGCCCACCAAGCCTATCCAATGGCTACCGGGGGCTCTTTCCCCGGGGGTAAAGCGGAAGGGGCATGAAGCTGACCACTAACTTCCAACTAATACCAAGGTTAAGAAAATGTGGATCTACACATCCACTCCCCCCTAAGCCTTCATGGCGTAGTATTTAATTAGTTAAGCACAGGGACAACTTTACCTTTTGCCTTGTATCAATGAACGAATAAGTGATGCACTGCTGCGAGCATCTTTGGTTTACTGTACATCCCCTTCCAGCTACCCTCATGACAATCCCGAACTTCGAATTAACTGTAGTAATTTACTAAATGGGGTGAAGTTTTCAGTCTTTTGAGATGCGTCGCAGTTATAATATAATATAATAATATAAAAAAGTAATATAAGTTTAATAAATGTACCTATATATGCACCTGAGATCATGTTTTGTTTAAGGGTGAAAACAGAAACACTCGCAATAAAAATTGTGAAAATACATGAGGACCTAAAATTAAGACAGAAAAGCGAGTGGAAAATGAATGCATCAAGGAATAAGAAGACTCCAGAGGCACCGATGCTGTTCTCCAGAACTCGCCCCAATTCTCCAATTCTATCGCCAGACTATCTCCAGTCTCTCTAGTTCTGACTTTGTACTAATCTGTACTCAACTAATATCAGCTCTCTGGTCTGGTCTAGTTGAGTCTGAGTCTTGAGTCTTATGTTACGACCGGCGTTCAGTCGGCCAGTCCTTCTTGGAATATAGCACAGATCTGGGGCTTGAATGAATGAATGTGTAAGGGGTGGGCCTTCTTGGCCCTTGCACCGCGACCATAGTGATCTATTGTGCCTCCCCTTCTGATTATCCCCTCAACAATCCTGCGCCTCGAATGAAGCGTAGGATCTTGTACGTGAGGACGTCGAAATTGTCACTTGGTTCCATAAAATATTGACCCAAATAGCGCAATCTTAAACAGGGTAAGGCCTCACATTCACACAGGATATGTGTGGCTGTTTCGTTTTCTTCTTGATGCCTCTCACAAGTTGGACTGTTATTTAGTCCCAGTTTGAAGAGGTGTCTTTAAGGTGACAATCTCCTGTAAGTAGTCCCACCACCTATCGTAGCTGGTTCCTGTTTCACTTCAACAGTTCCTTCGCTCTTTTAGTAGAGGGTCCTCGTATGAGTCCCTTTGCTTGCCTGAGTCCAGTCAAGGATCCCCAGTATTTCTTGTGCTTCATATTTATCCAACCACTGTTTGCCTTTCTGGCAACTCCTATAGAGATGCCACAGGCTGGTTCAGGTCCTATGAACGGATGTTCAGCTCCAATTTTGGCCAATCGGTCTGCTATTTTGTTTCCAGCAATACCCTCCTGCCCCGGCACCCATATCAGTTTGTACCCTGTTATGTGGCAATCCCAGACCAATTTTGAGTTGATCTGGTGTTTGTCAGGCGCTTTAAGTGCAGCTTGGCTCTCAGATAGAATGTAGATGTTCCTATTTCTGTAGTTCCTATCTAGATTCTCCATAATACATGCCATAATGGCATATACTTCTGCCTGGAGTACTGTCGTGTACTGCCCAAGGATGGAACTAAGTTTCCGTCTCGTGCCGTAGCAAAACACACCAGCTCCAGTGCCCTTATTTATCTTGGAACCATCTGTATACCAGATCAGTCCCCCTTTTCTATCGGGCCGAAACCCGTCTTCCCATTCACTCCTGTCAGGAAATCTGACTGTGAATGGTTTTTCATAGACATGTCTCAGTATCATTCTGTCAGACCCCATTTGTAATATGGGTTCTCTTTTCATGTCCTGAGTTATGTATGTCTGAAACTATCGAATTTAGGTTTCCATTGATCACTGCACTGGAGACGGTAGATTCCTGCCCTGGCCTCTGCCTTCAACTGTAAATGCAGTGGGGGGGAGTCTAAGGAGTGTCTCCAGTGCAGCTGTTGGAGATGTTCGGATTGCTCCTGTGATACCCAAGCAAGCCAACCTTTGTAATTTGCTAACTTCTGTCTTACTTGTCTTGAGTTTAACTCTGGGCCACCATACTGTGGTGCCATATGTAATTATGGGTCTTACAACCGCAGTGTATATCCAATACACAACGTGCGGCTGCAGTCCCCAAGTTTTGCCAAACATGCTTCTGCATGTCCAAAAAGCCTTATAGGCTTTATTGACGACCTGGTCCAGCTGCCTTTTCCATGTCAGTCCCTTGTCTAATACTAGACCAAGGCACTTGACGTCGCTGGAGAGCTGGATCGTCTTACTGAAGAGGGTCGGTTCCTTAAGGCCCTTTATATTTCTCTTCCTGGTAAACGGTATAATTACCGTGTTGTTGGGGCTGATGGAAAGCATCTGGGGCCTACGACCAGATTTGTATTACTGTCAAACAGTTACGGGCTTGTTGATGTGGGGCGTTCTCTCTGACAGAAGACTGGTCTATCATTTACAACTGCTGCTGGTCCTCTCCAGGCTATTCATTCTCGGCCCGAGTCCCGTAGGACTCGTGGCCATACTTTACTATCTCAGATTCGAGAATTCCCTTTTCGTCGCCTCCTACGATTCGCAGGGCTATGGTGGAGGTATTTGAGCCCGCCTCGGCAAGGGATCTACTCTAGCTACAAGTGGACTCGCTTTATATAGTCGCCGTACGGACAAACGCACAGAAAACACAGCTTCCTTTATTGTTGTTCGCATTACCAAAGGCTTGAAGGGAACTACTAGCAGTTGGGTCCAGTGTTCACTGTCAGTCGCTGGATAACCATCACACAGCAGGAAAGGGATTCACTTGGTTCATGTGTAAATGGGCTTGTCTTGGACAAATAATTAAAATACGTATTTAAGTGCCTTCAGCAAACAGCATAATATTCTGCAGAATTAACAGTGTGCCACGTCTTATATTTTTTACGAAGTTTTCCTGCAAGGTTTAATTATAAATTATTTCATACATAAATTTTTCTTATCTACATTGTTGAGTTAATGTAACGACATGAAGAGATTACGCTGCGATAAACTGAATCCAAGAATATTTCGTTCTCTGTAAGTTAGAATATCTGTAAATGCATGCTGTTAGTAATATTTTTAGTTTTAAATTATCACTGTTAGAATGCCACGGATCAGACCCTGATCTCTCTCTTAGAATATACTTCAGCATCTGTCTTTAAATTGTGGCTGCAATTCTATTTTTTTTTAATTTCATTGCGTAATGTTAAATTCACACAGAATAAGATTCATTTCAGTGAGCAGCCTGCAACCATATTTCCGTTTCATCATAGATCCTGACATTTCTACTTAACACAGCTATTTCCAATTCATTTCCGTTAGTAAGTTTTCACTGGACTAATTCTGTCTAGTTCTTAGTCACAACTTTTATAATAGAAATGTGTGTGTGTGTGTTTTTTTTAGTGTGACGGCCAAAGTGATGACGGGATAAGGAGACAAGAAGTCGTATACGTGTGTTACAGGCATGCAGCAGGGAATAAGATGGAAGAAAAGAAAACAGCGAACAGGAAATCGGTTGAAAGGGGGAGGAAGGGCTGAGGGTTGATGGAAAGAGCAGAGTCGGTACCCTGACCTACTTAGCCTAGCGAATCAAGTTATAGAAACCTCTCGTCCACTCTCCGAAAGATCATAGGAAGCCTACCTAACAGCCCTCCTTACAGCTACTCGTCTCGAGTAGCTATTCAAAGCTTGTTGGTAGGGGGACCTCGTAAACCTACTTTTATTTTTTTTTTCAAAATAAGGAAAGTATGTTAATATGTGTGTATTTAATCTTCAGGGTTTGCAACTTAAATTTTATGCCCATATCCGCCACATGTCCTGCATGTCCTGTACATTTCACCATTTCAGATGAAATCTCGCTAATAATATTAAGTGATGACTACAAATTCCGAATCTTCTTGACGGACGACAATTTCCTTCACGCTTAGAGTTAGCCCTAGTACATGGGTAAATGCTCAGTCTAAGTACAGTGCGTTGTCTAGACAGCACAGAAATAAAGCCAATTTATGCGTTACGTTACTTGTGTAAGGCTGACTTGACAGGAGGAGCTTTCGACTCTTCCGCCTGAATCTGTGCCCCCCCCTCCCAAGAGTCCTCGCTGTTATATTTATTGGCTTCCTAATGGCCATTTAGCCGGTTACGGTAGCCGAGCGGTCTAAGGCCCCTCATACACACACAGTTTGGCCTTCCGATCGACCTTACAGGCAAAACTGTGACAGTTTACCCCTTCCCTTTCCTCCCCATACACGCGCAGATAAAGCGGCAGGCTTCATGCCACAATCACGGTCTTCCAGCCTATAATGTTGAGTCATACACGTCACGTGCTACGGTTCTGCAGGCAGAACTGACGGACTGACGGGTTTCCCACAGGCCAGCAGTCCAAATGCTTGGCCGGCCGGCAGCACCACACACGTCAGTTTTGCCTTTCAGTCTTGAACTGTGCAGGCCGAACTGGAGGCCAAATTGTGTGTGCATGGGGGCCCTAAGGCATGCACTGTCTTCGCTCGCTCGGAAGCCGGGATCGTGGGTTCGAATCCTACACAAGGCATTGTTGTTTGGTGTGTGTATGCATTTATTCCGTGTTTGTGATAGCCTGTGTTTAGGCAGAGGCCTTGCGACGAGGTGATCACCTGTCCAAGGATTCCTACCGTCTGTAAAATGATCATGAAACTGAGAAATCAGCCCTGTGCTCCAAAGTGGGAGCGGGAGGAGGGAAAAAAATGGCAATTTTTCTAACAAAGGTCTAGATTCACTTTTTGTCATGGTCTGAAATCCACGAGACTTGGGGCTCGATTTATTCGGTTTATGACAACTATTTTTAAGGAACTTACTCATATCGAATGGCATGGAGGAGGCCCTGGAGAACGCACTGAGTGTAGGTGTGGCTCCATCGATATCCCAGTGTGAAGAGACGCTGCATTTCTCGTTCTAGAGCGTGGAGATCTTGTCGATTTAGGTCATACCTGCAGAGACAATACATCACATATATTACAGTAACAAACATAAATTATTTAACTTCTCAAATATCAACACAATACTTCACAAGGCAAAACAAGTCTAATACTTGTGCTTAAGTATTTGGCTCTGCTTTTGAGAAGAACCTGCACATTTCCACCGGAAACAAGACAGTATTCTTCTGTGGTCCTTTCATCATCATCATTGGTAAACCAGTCCTTCTTATGCCACAGCATTCCTTAGAGGATTCCTACCCGATTTGATCCAGTTTTCGCTCCATTGGATTTCGCAACAGCAATTCTGTTTATAGAGCAAGATCGTCGGACTTGTGTCCAACCCCCAAACCTGGAGAAATAGGTCTCTGTATGTGAATTTATGCCCCCTGTGACTGGGAGTCCCCGTCATACGGCCAGGCACTGGTTCCCTTTTCGTCGCCTTCTACGACTCGCAAAGGTACGGTGGAGGTATTCCAACCCACCTCTATAAGGGAATGGTCCTTACAGACCTATACACTTCTAAACTAATTCTAAGGAGGACAGTTCTTCTTAAGAAGCTTATAATTGCTGAGTTACTCAACAAATTGTGCCTTTTGTTTTACTGAACCCTAGGACCACTTACTATTTTCACAAAGCCTTCCGCTAGTCCCCTGCCTTGTGTCAGAAGATTGGGTTCTACAATCCCACGCCATTTCTTGAACATGTATTATTAAAATGATCATCATTATTGTTTATTAAATTGAATCTTTTACGTCCAATGTTTTCTTTTCGTGCTAATATTGTCTTTCTGCTAGATTCGCCTCAGCTGCTAATGTTGTTTGCAGGGACGCTGAAATATTTGGAACCAAAACTGTCTCTCGTAATCATGTTTTCTAATGATACTTCTTAATTATTATATTATTAGTTGTGTTCGATATGTGTATACGAGTTTGCGTCAAATGGGGTGACTTTGGGTCAACATAGGTGAGTTAGTGCAACTCACCCATGGTGACACAAAGTCACATAGTTAAGAGGAGAACTGTTGGTGCGATTACAGTTATAGGATTTTTATTATTGTCTGAATGACATAAGTTTTCTTGTTTTTTCTTGTTCTTGTATGCGTTCATTTAGTCTCTCTCTTCGCTCGTACTTGCGTCATAATTGGCTTTTAGGCTGAGTACGCACGTATGAGTAAATAATAATCGTCATCATCGTCGTCAATATTATCATTACTAACCGATAATACAGTGCGACCGTACGTATTTATTCTTGCACAACGAACTTGCCTGTATTTCTCATCCTCCCCAAAGCTCGAGTACAGTTGAAGACATCGTCCCAGTGCATAATCTGAAAAACAAAGAACAGAAAGACATTGAATTTCATACCACGAAACATTCTAACAAAACTAAACGTTCATTGTGTGGGCCTTCATTTCTGTCCTATCGGACGGTTTCCCACTTCTAACTTTAAACAGTCTGGAAACATGAAACTTCTCGTACGTATAGAATTTGAAGTTTTCAGAGAGGTGGATATGAAGAGTACTATCTTCTGGGATATAATGTCGTGTAGGCCGTCGAAAGTCAACCGACGTTTCGGTGGAATACATCACCTGCATTTTTAGGGTAGAAAAATAAGCCGAGTAAAATACGAGCGTGACAGCAGGTGACAAGCAGAGCAGAGCAGACACTGAAGATGGAGGCGATATGTTCCTCCGAAACGTGGATTCACTTTCAACGGACTACACGGCGTTATATCTCAGAATATAGTAATGTTCTTGTGTCCGCTACTAAATTTCCGGATCAGCTGACAAATTAAAGTGAACTGGGGTGGAATATTCATATAACAGTAGACAGATATCAGAATGACGGTCACGGTAGCCGAGTGGTCTAAGGTATGTACTGCCTTCGCTAGCTTGGAAACCGGGATCGTGAGTTCGAATCCCACTCAGGGCATGGATGTTTAGATTGTGTGTGTGCGTTTTTCTGTGTTTGTGTACAGGTAGAGGCCTTGCGACGAGCTGATCACCCGCCCAAGGAGTCCTACCGACTGTGTAAGATCTAGAAAAACCGAAGTAAACGAAGAAGTTCATGGAGGTAGGCCTAGGTCCACTGGGGCTGTAGTGCCAAGGAAAAAAAATATATCAGAATATTTTAATAGAACGATGCAGTCGAGAGACTAGGTCTCCCGCATCGCATTGGATATAACCCAGTTTCTATCTTCGACCAGATATCGGCTAACCCGATTGAAGCTTCTCGTCCGTTTTCCAGTTATTTACAAGGAAATGCTGAGCTCATGCCTTCTCCCTCCCTCATATAAATCATAATCATCATTTCATGTGACCTATATAACCTACGAATCCTTCGTAAAATTGAGAAACAAACACAGATTTCAAATTCATCTTCTGCAAACCTCTCCCTTTATAATTAAAGTTCAAGTTTTTATAATGAAACTGATAGAGCTATATGTGAACAGATGTTTCACTTTACACACCGACTTCCGTCTTCAGTGCAGCTTGGTTTACAATTTATCCTTAATTTAAAATAATATTAAAATTATAATTCAATGTCTACATGTTTCGGCCTTACTTGGTCATCCTCAAGCAATTGTTCACTTGTTGAAACCGCTACACTACATTAATTTTTAAGTTAAAATATTCTAATGTTATTGCATTTTCGTCGTTCATATTAAAACGTTTTTGCTTGTGAACAAAACTGTTTACTTTTCTTGCGTTATTTTCCTCTCACGGCGTCTGTGTTTTTGTGTTATTTCATTTAGCCTTATGAACATCGACGTTGTGTTTTTATAATTACTATTTTTATATGCCCCATTAGTACGGATGTTCCCACTAGTCGACTGTATCTAATTGGTACAAAGCCCTTTGAAACTTCAATGGAAGATGCTTGAAAGCAACTCCACCAAAAATATTAGACCTTAATGTGTTGAAAAGTTGGCACTAACTTCGCTGACAAGCGGCGGTCGCCCGGTCGGTATAGTTCGCTTGCGGATTAAACTCACGGAGTTTGTTTTTTTGTTTATATGTTGAAAGGTTCGGAAGGAAAACTACATTTATACGTATATTATGAAAATATACCTGATAGACTAATAATGAGCACTAAGTAGTGTTGCTCTTTAGATATTTTTTTTCAGGAAAGATTACGATCAAAACTTCATCAAAAATATCTAACCTCACTCTTTCTTCAGTTCCTTGCCATAACTGACCAACGGTCGGTAGTTGAGGGATTTGGCCCTCAGATACGGCATGAACATGGACAGATACTTCATGAATTTCACTAACACTTCTTATTAACATTTTTTTTTCCTTGGCACTACAGCCCCAGTGGGCCTAGGCCTACCTCCATGAACTTCCCCGTTCACTTCGGTTTTTCTACATGTTACACATTTGGTAGGACTCCTTGGGCGGGTGACCAGCTCGACGCAAGACGTCTACCTCTACACAAACACAGAATACGCACACACAAACTAAACATCCACGTCCTGAGTGGGATTCGAACCCACGATCCCGGCTTCCGAGCGAGCGAAGACAGTGCATGCCTTTGACCGCTCGGCTACCGTGACCGGCCATTAACATATTACAACATAATTAATTTTCAAGGTATATGTTTTAGACTTGTTCTGTTTCAATATGCAACCGCACATTATCCTGAATGATCTCAACTGCAACAAAGAGGTGGAAACATCTAAATAAAGAAGTACCATTTGAAGCCACAGTCTCCACAGATAACTCCTCCACTTATACACTCTAGTACATTTAAGCGCCAATCACAGTGGCCGCGCGGTCTAAGGCATGAACCGCCTTCACTCACTTGAACGCTGGGATCGTGGGTTCGAATCCCACTCAAGGTATGAATGTCTGTTTGCGCTTATTCTGTGTTTGTGTTAGGGAGCGGGCTTGCGAAAGGCCAATCCACGTCAAAGGAGTCCTGGTGACTGTGTATAGATTAAAAAACTGTAGAAGCGGCCAAGGCCCAGCAAGGGGCTGTGGAGCCACAGATGTATACTTCATCGTCGATTTTGGGAGTCTTTCTACAGTCTCGCATCTGACAAATTATGGTTTATGATGACTAATTTTGAGGTTCATTAACAATACTTTCAGCTGTAGAAAATACATGACGTTGATTTTTAAGGTGATTTAGTTTGACTTACATTTTACAAAAAAAAAAAACTCTTAATAAAAGAAGCATATTCTCCTAAGACACATTTTCATTCATAAGTGTAGCACTCTGTATTAAGTGGCGCTCGTGTCAGTCCCACTTCAGAATTTCGCGAATCCGCTATGATGGTATTATATACTGCATTACATTAAAAAACAAATTCAGGAGCCTTTCATAAACATCACATTCATATCAAACGTCGTTAAAATTCGCTAAAGATTTGAGATGACGGACACATATACACAACGACAGCATGGTGATCTTAGAAGTGTCTCTTCTGTCTTCTCTAAGACAGTAAAAGGTAAAGCTAAATTTGTCACTGTGTTTAATGAATTGGACCGCTCCCGTGGTCTAGCAGTCCTGGCTACAGATCCAGAGGTCCGGGTTCGATTCCGGTCCTACCAGATTTTCTGACAAGTAGTGGGTTTGGAACGGGGTCAACTCAGCTTCGTCAGGATAACTGAGGAGATACCTGAATGGAAAAGTAGCGGCTCTGGTCTAGAAAACCGAAATTAATGGCCGTGGGGATTCGCTGCGCTGAACACGCGACACCCTCTATCCGCTAAAGTTGGCACTAACTTCGTCGATAAGCGGCGGTCGCTCGGTCGGTACAGTTCGCTTGCGGACTACATGCAACGGAGAAATTTTTGTTTTTTTACAGTACTAGTAGGGGTAAGAACGTTGAGATGGACACTGTACGTAGCATAGTTAGTTAATTAGTAATTCACCAGCAGGATAAAAAAAATGAAATTCCTCCCTTCGTGCTTTCTCATATACAAGTATGAACATTCACTCATTTTTATGCAGAAAAACGCCATATGGCAATATATAGACCTTTTACTGGATCCGCAAACCACAACAAATACACGTTAGACTGACAGATAATCGAATCTGTTACATTAGCTAAATTATTTGTGGAGACGGCGTTGTCTGAACCTTTGAATGAGACAGAGTGAGGTGGTAGGTGTTTTGATGTCCAGACAGAAGAATTGTTGCCGAAAAATCAATATAATCTTAAAATAAATTTACTATTAAGAATAGAACCTACAGGTTGTATAACTACTCACCATTATAACACCATTCCAGACGATCACTGCACAGACTGCCGCTGAACAGACACCCTGTAATCACAGAAAAGAAAAGAGTCAGTTTTTCAGTTCTGAAAATTAAAAGTCACACGAAACAAATTCGCTTTTCCACTGATGAAGACAAAATATTGCCCAAAATGCACACACATATTGCAAGCCAACGTAACAGAACGAGGAGCGTACTTCTAATGATACTGTCACTTGTCTGGCGTTCCGTGACCAATAATAACGGGTTTTGGATTGAACAGTTGCATTTATTAACACCTTATAAAATCCACCCCTACTTACAAGCGATACAACGCTACCGCTGATTTACCAAATTTACAGTTCACCGTTACACACGCACTGGGTGTTCTCAGACTTCACTAGTCGTATCCTGATAACGGAGTTAAAGCAGTCTCATTGTGACTAAATCTTCTAATCACACGCTAAGTCTTCACAGTCTGGCTTCTAATTCTTCTTCAACTCTGAACTTCTCGTGGCTGTCTCCTACCAACAACTTCTTCCGTTCTCATTTCCGTTCTACGACTGACTCCTTGTACCTTCTGTACCCCTACAGCTCCTAGCTTTGGAATTCGACTCGGCACGGACCAAGCAGCATAGAAAACACGGCCCCTCTGTTGTTGTAGAGGCATGTTACCACGCAGTTACCTAGCAAACAGTGTAGGAGCGGAGAACATAGAAAACACCTTTCATTCTTTTCGCGTATTGATACAACCGCGGATTTATTGGCTCGTTACCTAGAAGTGGATGTCCTTTATTGTCGTGTATTTTTGTACGCATTACCCAGCAACGGCTGTTTACCAAGAATCTGTCTCCGCAGGAACACGTTTATGGACCGATGCCTAGCAGTGGGTCGATACGTCACAATATTAAGAAGTACAAGGTACCGGTGTCAAACTAGAAGCAAAATATGTAAATGTCTCTGCTTACTGTGACCCCTGAATTGTGATGGTAAAATTTTTTTTTCCTTGGCACTACAGCCCCAGTGGGCCTAGGCCTACCTCCATGAACTTCTCCGTTCACTTCGGTTTTTCTAGATCTTACACATTCGGTAGGACTCCTTGGGCGGGTGATCAGCTCGTCATAAGGCCTCTACCTGTACACAAACACAGAAAAACGCACACAAACATCCATGCCCTGAGTGGGATTCGAACCCACGATCCCGGTTTCCAAGCGAGCGAAAACAGTACATGCCTTAGACCGCTCAGCTACCATGATCGGCCGATGGTAAGATTATATAACGTAATTCTCCCTAGAATAATGCCAGACCTCTGTAATGGCATCGTTAGCATTTCTGCATATTTAACGTGAAAACCTACGAAAGTACGAGACGCAAAAGAAATGTCAAGAGAATCCTAACATTCCACAAACTCAGCAGATCTGTGAAGCGGCGACACTCCCGATCCGTATTCAGATCGGCCGTCTGGACTGAAGTCCCTGCGGGTTCCTCTCAGACTCTCCTGCGAAGGAGGGAGTACTGTACCATCAAACTGGTCACGGAAAGACCAACCTTCTAACCTCAATCTCATCCAATGTTATATAATCTATAGGTAGTTTTATTCGACAGAGACAGTCGGTCACTCTTCGACGAAAGGGATATTACTACTGAAAGTGCTGATTTCGTTCGCAGGTCATTTGATTTTCTTCCGATAATAAAATCGGAGTTACTTTTACGTGCCGGTCACACTGATCGCGCGGTCTAAGCCACGAACTGTCTTCGCTCTCTCGAACGCTGGGATCGTGGGTTCGAATTCAACTCAAAACATGAATGTCTGTATTAAGTGCGTTTATTCGGTGTTTATGTTGTTCTGTGTGCAGGTAACGGCCTTGCGACGGGCTAATTCCCCGTCCAAGTAGTCCTACCTACTGTCTAAAAGATCAAGAAACTGAAAAAACGGCCAAGGCCCAAGAAATGGCTGTAGAGGCACAATAATAATAATTTTTACGTAATTTCCAACATTATGTTGGGCACTGCCCATTGCTTGATGTATGTTTCATACAGACGACGTTTAGGAACTTGATCATCGGCTTTCATCTTCATCTAATTGTTTGTCAATACGCTGTCAAATAGTTCACTATTTATATTTCCTTTGTACTCTTTGAAAAATATAATTAGAATGATCAAACCAAGAAGGATGAGACGGATGGAGCATTTAGGACGTACTGAGAGAAAGAGGAATGCACATAGAGTCCTGATGGAGAAAACTAGAAGGAAAGGTACCACTAAGATCTAGACGTAAGTGGGAGGATAATATTAAGATGGATTTAGATAAACAGAATGAAGTGGTACGGCCTGGGTTCATCTGACTCAGAGTATGGGACCAATGGTGGTCTCCTGTGAATACGATAAACCTCGGTTTGCATAAAATGTAGGGGAATTCTTCAGTAGCTGAGCGACTGGCGTCTCCTTAAGGACTCAGCTCCATGAAGTTAATTCGTTAGCAATGTCCTTAAGATTACTACTGGAGGTTAAGATCGATCCAAAAGCAAACACAGTCAAGATTATAAAACAGAAAAGCAAATCACAGTGTAGACTGTGGTTGGAACGAAGTCTGAAACTTTCCGTAAAATTTCGCTGAATATTTAATGTGGTACGAAGAACATATATCACTTGGAGACAAGTTCCTTATAATTCGTTGCATATTTAATGATTCCTCCGCTGCTTTACAAAGCGATTTCAGAGGTTAAATCGGATTAATGGATGAAATAAGGGTTTGAAAGAAAGCAAGGAGCCGTGGCCTTTTTTCAGGGTACAATCCCGTTATTCGTTTGAAGAGATAGAAGAAGTGTACAGAAATCCTGATTCAGGATGGCCCGAAAAATGACACTGAATCAAATTGTGTCCTTCCCAAGTATAAATCTACAGCATTACCAGCGCTCCAGCGTTAGAAATTCTATTTCGTATTCTGCAGGTCTTGAGTTCAGATCCTTACTCGGACACAGGCCATCTTGAGTTTCTCAACCCCTCAAGAAAAATACCAGATAGTACGGGTAACTAAAATTAGGTAAGGATCGATTCTTTCCGCATCCTGCGCGATTAATTATTCACTGATCATCCTCCAATTCGATGTAATGAAAGTTTCGTTGAAAGATAAATGAACAACAAGATGTCCCTACTTTTCTTTGATACGACACGGTCCTCATAGAAAACAACGCATCCAACAAATCTTCTACTGTTACGTGTGTATTCTTACCCGCGGTAATGTTTTTACTGAGCCGTTGCCTAGCAATAATACGGGGATACACAGACACACAGACTGATGGGAGGGTTCTATAAAGTACGCCGTTGAGGTGGGCTCAGGTACCTTATCAAGTTTCATAAAGATTGGTTCAGGTATCCATATGTATATATGGGGGGTATACAGAGAGGAAGGTAATCGCATAAGCTTTCTTTTATTTTTAGCCTACTTTCCTCAAGTAGGTTTATGTGAATTCCATACTGTCTGTGTGTCTGTGGACCCACCCTTATTAATTTTGAATGCATGGGCCAATCTTTATGAAACGTGGTATGTATATATCATCGTACCTGAGCACACCTCAACGGAGTACTTCATAAATCCTTCTCATCAGTCTGTGTCTGTATGCACATCTTCTCTCGTTACTAGGCAACGGCTAAGCGGCCTCCGTAGATTAGGGGTAACGTTCCCACCTCGTGACTCAAGGTACGCGGGTTCAAACCCGGCGGAGGTCGTGGAATTTTTAAGGGCGGAAAAATTCAGGGAACAAGTCCTCCGGGAGGGACTTTAAGCCGTGGGTCCCGTGTCGTAGATTTACGGCACGTAAAAGATCCTCATGTCTCTAGCAGACCTCTGAGCAAAATTAGGCAAGTTTCCCTCCCAAGTAGTTTCCAATGCCTCTGGGAGATGGGGGAAGTATCAAGGTACCGAGGGCCGACCACGTTGGCTGAACGGGGCTGATAGCACGCACCAGTACCGGTATGATATGGCGACTGGTAGAATATCAGAGGGGGACGTACAATAGACTATTAGTCGCGGTGCATGGGGAAACCCACCCCCTCCAATAATAATAATAATAATACTAGGCAACGGCTAGGTAAAAACGTTACCGCTGCAACGAATAAACACGCAACAACAGAATAATGTTGGACGCGTCCTTTTCTATGCGGTCCATGCTGTACTAAAGAAAGTGGACGATTAATTCTTCCCAGAAATTCTTGTTTTTAAAACAAGGAAAGTAGGCTAATAAATAACTACACGAACCAGTCGCTTAAATTTATTCCGAGTCTGTCTTTGTCCCTCTGCGGGGCGCTTCTTTTCTATGGTACAGATAATGTAAATTGGCACTGTATGAGCGTCATCAGCACAGCAGTCTGGTCACGTGTGCTGGAGTTCATCATGCATACTGAGACAGGTCCTGCTCGGTACGTATTACAGCATTATGCATTAATCCGTTGCCTGCCGCATTTCTTTCTCGGAAATTCATTAGTAGGTTGATGCAAAAAAATACAATTCACTCTAAATGTAGGTTAATCGAAACGGACAAAAAATAATTAACGTTTTATTATTCTCTAAATGAATTGCACAAGGGAACGTATCATTTAACAAGAAACATAATTAAACTACATACCACTTAAACACAAGACTCGTGACTACAATTAATTACAGGGCGATTGCTGATCTCCTCACTTTACAAATCACTGTAGGACACGCTTAGCCTTTTCAGTCGCTGTGCCTTCACCAATCGTCCCCCCGTAACGGCTTCTAACAGTGGGATCCCTCAACTGCACCGGCTAACTCTTCTCTTCACAAACTCCCTTACAACTCTCACTGAACCCTTGCTACAATTATCCTTCTTGCAACATCTCGGCACGTCTGTTTTTAACATCACTCTCCCAAAGTCGCATTTTATTCTTCAGGTTCATACAAGAATTCTACACGAATTTTTCATTTCCTCTGTACTGGCCAGAATGTTCCATTAATTTCAGTGTTTATGATTTAAACACACTTATCATATTACGCAAAGAACATAATGAAGACACTCTTTATCACGTAACTGTTTCCATTAGCCTG